AGTTGACTTATCGATAAATACCCACTGGTACGGTGCGGTGGAGCGCATCTTCAGTCGTCGACTCCTCGGGCAGACGTCCAATTTTTCGTTAGCATTCATTTAGCTTCTCAAGTACACATCGAACTGCTGCTGCTAATGAGCAGTAGCAAATAAAGCAATTAAACAATAAGTTGAGTTCATATCCATTCTATAATGCCAACTTTATCAAGGGTAGTTTGATGCAATTCTAGTAGCTGCAGGTTTGCAAGGAAGTTCTTGTCCAGAAGGAAAGGCGGAAGAATTAATGGGACTCCTTCCTCTGCCATGCGGCCACGAGGCCTGCTAATCACCTTACTTGTTACTGAAAGAAGTAGAATATATTCCAATTAGGAGTGTTTGAAGCTGTAGTTGGGAAGCAGATTACTGGGCGTTTACCAAAGCAATGATTAATATCTTTGTTAGCATGATTGGGGAGAGATAATTCATTTGCCTGATTGTATCTAACACGCTTCCTTATAAATGAAGGATATTTCAAAACGTCTTTTTATCTTGTACTATTTTATTGAACAAATTCTCCAAGTGGATAAAACCTTAATTTTTAATTACATTTCTTACCTTCCAAGGGGAAGCCGTTTCGCTCGAGCATTACCGCAAAGCTCTCATAGCAAGCCACAAAGAAGGACGCTTTTCTGAGGCTTTTTTGGTGATTAGTTGAAAAGTGAATGGGTTAGTAAATAAGCATTCAATTGATTTGTGATTGTTTTCTTCCTACTGGCAGCTGGATTCTACCAGCAAAACCATTGCTCTTCCCAAATCCAGTGATCCATCCAATGCAAGGCATAGAGGCAAAAAGTGCTGACTTTTGCCTTTTAATGTAGTAAACAACTCAATGCACTACCGCCTTCCCTATTACTGCTTCCGCTTTTCGTTCATTGCAATAAGGAGGTTGCTTTAGTAAGATATCACCACTCGAGGCAATGTTCCAAAGGTCGTCATTTTCACAGTACTTCGGATCTACATTAGCTTTCCTATTCGACTATTTTTATTTATCAGCAGTGGTGCATCATATCACTATACCTACTAATTATTATAGCACAGCCTATTGTTAATCTTGAATGCACTTTCCTGCGTAAAAAGCGCTCATTTTCCTTAAAGTGCGTCTTCTACTACGCATAGGAGGCTACCTTTGTCCGGTGGCCGGGCTTATTCACCTTCAAAAGTGCGCCGACCAATGGGATGAAGACAGGAGGAAGGGAGATAGGTAGAGACGAGGTGTGTCAGAACATGTGTATTCCTCTAGGTACTGTGAAGGGACGCGACTTTCAGTGGCTCGCTGTAAGGCGTAGACGTAATTGACGTCTGCGTAAATCGACCTTCGTCAAAGTTGTGGGTGTGTGTGTGCTGCGTACGCTTCCGTGTAGGGCCATAAAAGATCAGCCAGCTGATAACGGTGAACCACACCACTGTCTCAACGCAGTTCCGTAAGTCCTCACACACCTTGTTTCTTCACACTCGTGCTTACTTTCATTGTCTTTTAAATATTAATTCCTTCCCTTTTTAATGATACCCAATGCAAAAAGCGCTTTCCCTCCTTGTTTGGGTGAAATGTAAAGGCTAAAAATTTGTGCTCGTGAGCACGCCTCAGTTTAAAATTGGCCCACGCCTTCAGTAAAGTAGAACCACAGGCCTTGGTTTTAAGCCTCGAGTTTGAGACCTTTAAAGGCTTGAAGACTTGAAGCGTCGAGTTTAGACTCACAGTACTTTGATTTGAATAAAACCACGAAAATGAGTTATCAAAGTCATGATTGTTTGACAGATGATCCTATTGTTATGCAATGTTGGCAAAACTCGCAACAAAATGAATTTTAGGCATGCTAACCGAAATAGTAACTTCTCGCCGTTTTCTCGGTCATTAAAAACAATCCCCTATTTATTGTTGGTTGTGGCTCCGTGACTCACGTGCAAACACAAGTGCACCCAAGACCAAGAACCTTGTACGTAGGCTGATTTATAGAGGTAACAATCCGGACCCCTAGTTAAAGTAAAGAAGGTCCTTTATTACAATCAATAAAATGTACCATTCGAGCTCCTTGAAATGTGGGTCCTGCAGTCTAGCAACTCATGAGTCTTTCACAAATTTTTTTTTACGAACCGAGGTCATCGATATTTCAAGTTTGACTCAATCACCACAT